TACGAGCTCGTATCACTACTTACCAGTCGATGGATGATTGATTTTTCCAAACCATTAGTCACCATCGTGGTGACATTGTAGGCTGGTCCATTACATTGTGTAGAACTACATCTGTCACAAAACAAACATGAGAATATCATATTTGTTAAGTAATACATGAATATTGTGTCTTCAATGGACACGTTGTATTGGCAATGTGTGTAAAAGAGCATTGCAAGCAAAGTAAATAGTGTCTACATTTATAATTGCAACCAGAATTATAACAACTGAGACGGAAATCCTCATCAGTGCGTGTGTCGGGTTTAATACCGAGGTTTGTTACTACATGGATAATGCTGGAATTACTTCACCTGCGTCTTAGTCGCTATACGTTTTGCTTACCAGTAGTCCGTGTTTTGTTAAATGTAACCGCTACGGCTTCCTTTCCTTGTAGCGGGTATCTCTTCTTCAATATGAACGCCTTTGTATTGCTTCCTCTGCCTGGATCGATAGCGCTCAGTAAGAATCCACACAGAGCGCTGACAAAAACAACGAAGCCAACAAGGGTCGATAATCTTTTCAATGTCACACACGGATTACGCATTGCTTCTTTTAGAAGTAGGCCACCCACGTTCCATTCATTTGCAGTAACAAGATATCAAAAGACTATTGGTGTGAACAGATAATTAGCCTATATGCACGACTGCCCTCTGGTGTTCGAGTAAACAGAAGTGAGAAGTAAAACGACCTCGTTCCGCAAATCTAGTCAGGTCACGCGTCTAGCAGACTGTCTTGATTATGTTATACTCGCGTGAAGTACTCCATCTGTTAAAACCTCATGATATATGAATTGAATGCGTTACGTACTGTGCCTGCTGTACGCGTTCGACAAAGCCTATGTTCTGCAACACACCGTCCCACACGCAATTTTGACTTGCGATCCCGGCATTGTAATCTCGTAAATACCAAGTTATGATGACGATAGTGAACTGTACGTTGGTGGATGTTTATAACCAATAATGCATTGATCGTTTTTGGTATGTTGTTGGTTATCTTGTTAGACGTATAGCCGTCATTAATGGATGTATTTTTTTCTTTTTCTGTAAGTAATCAAAAAAAAACATAAATGAATTTATTCAAGTATTATTTCAATTTTACCCTTCAAGACAGGCAATCGTTTTTGTGAATTTTAGCATTCAAAGTAATACATTAGGTTTGTTTAAATAGTAAACGACGAACGATGGACGGGCCATTCAGAACCCGGGGATTACGGAGCCGTTCTTTAAATTTGCAAGCCATCGATTATGATAATAAATATACAAACTCGGTCTATGTAAAATTCAATTCCTGCGAATTTGAAAACTTCTCAAATCATAACAACGCTTCACTGATATCATGAACGTGCTATCCAACAGTGTCATATGACATCACGTGACTATTATAGTTACTGTATTGCGTTTCGTATTATTCTCAATTTTAAAACCTATGCACTTTTTTGTTTTCTTGCTTTCATTATTTGAAAGATATTTTATAATGTCTTTATTTGTTACTACATGGGATAGCGATCTACTGGTAGGATTGTGTGTCGGCTGGTTTAGATTACAAGTCGTATTGCTCACGTAACACAGTGTATGTATTTTCACAAATCGCTGCCTAAGTTTGTCATTGAGTAGAGTGGTAGTTTCCTAAATTAATGATGTTTAACGTCATTGTTGTACTTTGACAGTTGCCATTTATCTGTTAACGAAATTAATACTATTTATCACATGCATCATTGTTTTTAGTACAATGCCAACTCATTTTAGTTGGAGGACTGCATCTACATTAGAAATGTGTGTTTTTTTCGAAATTACATCCTGACATTTCGTAGGCCGGATACAAGCATCACCCTCACTGCAAAGTAACATATTAACATATGCAATGACACAGGCCCTCTACGGAGATACAGGGACTGTGGCAATGAGTAACACATTTACGACTAAATAGCATGTGAAGATTGAATAACCATTCACACGTTGGCTGTTTAATATTAATAGCACGATTCATCCACATAATAGCACAGCAATTAACTCTTATGTCGTCAAGACAATGTAAAAGCACATGGGCATAACAAGATTGGGGTTAATCTACCCACATCAGACCCTAGGACCGTTACGCTTTGAATGAATCGATGCACGGCGTAGTTCTAATTGTCTGCCACGAGGCCATTTCAAAGTTTATATTAAAAGTTCGCGATAATGCATTTGTTAGGGTATATATCAGTGTTGACTGGGACACAATTCCTCTGTAGTCTGCGTTAGTTCTTGGGGGTATCACAAATCACAGCGTCAATACACAGTTGACTCCAATCCATTATATAATCTCAGGAGGTATTTTATGCTCGTTGTCAGCATGACTGGAAAAAAAGGGTTATCTGATACGATGGGGTCAAATGGCGCAGACAGGCGGATGGCTTCCAGGCAATAAACAGGGCAATGCCTTAATACAGCGTACATTGGAATGTAGATTTTTCCAGACATTGATTAGATTTCGCTTCTTCGAGTAGTTTTGGCGATGCGATGCGTCATCTGTCATATAACTTTCTGCTGTTACGAAAACAAAGTATAGCTGGAAGGAATGCCTCGAACAGCTAGGAGAAGATCACCGCGTCAGTTGGTATAACGACCTCTTGTCAATGCGTGAAACGTAGATTTTAATGGTTTCATTGAAACATTAATTCCCCGGGTCCGACTACAGATAAGGTCATATCAAAGATACATTATACATGCAAACATGGTTAATGCGTAGCAGTAGTATTTCCAGTGACTCACCTTACCGTATAACGCAACAGCAAAAATGCCAAAAAAAAAAAAGTTCGGCTGAATTCCAGTAGACGTATCTACACACGCATTGGTGACTTCACAAAATACTTGACTTTCAATCGTCTGTTTGTTTGTTTGTTATATACGAAATGGTATATGGAAATTGCAAAAAGATATCCAAGACGTTACCAATATGATGGAGCAAATCACGTGAAAATGTAATGTAGACAACGGTAATAAATCCTAGCTTGTTAAACAGAGCGATCATACAGTTTTTTGGGTCACGCCAGGGTCACGCACTTCGAACGTTGCATTTATTTATTTACTTATTGACTCTTAAACAATACCAGGAGGGATAGGAAATGGTCACAAGGTACAAGAAAAAAAACAATAAGCTAGATAACAAAATACCATCACTAAATAATGCAAAATCACTAAAATACTAAATAATGTACGATTACTGAAATAATATAAAATAGGTAAAATTTGTCATAACAGAGAAAAAAAAGAGTAAAAGTTAATATTACTGACAGCAGGCATTAAAATTTCAAGTAAGATTCTGCTTCCTGACTTCAAAGCTTTTACTTATGAAATGAGCTACATATATAAATATGTTTTCATTCTGTAACAATTACATTATCTTTTTCTCTGCAGGTATATTTTCAAATGCTGGAATCATATCCTTAGCGTTATTGAAAAGATCAATACGCAAATCATATTTGTTGCATTCCACCAGAAAGTGCATTTCATCCTCAATTAGACCTTTGTTACACACGTCACAAACCCTGTTTAAAGGAATTTTTCATGCGACCCATTTAAATTTTGAGACTATGGTCACTAAGACGAAATTAGGTAAGCATACTACGCAGTTCAAAGTTTTTTAGCTTGACTAAATATGGCTCAAGTTTTAAATAAGATTTGATTAGCCGATATGTTCTCAGTTTGTTTTTCTCATTTGCTTTGGTGCGGTTATCATTATGAACCTCACCTTTCCATTTTGTTTCATTTGTGCCAAGGTTAATTTATCACGGGTGTTAACTGAATATTGTTTAATAACAATGTTACTTCTAAATACCATTTACTTGTAACATTTCGGTTAACCACAGAAGCTTCCTTGAGTAACACATTATTGGAATTCATGTCCCGACTGTAATATTTATAATTTAATAAAAAAAGACTGGACCATTATTTTTAATACATGGTATGATTTCAATCTATATATAAATAATAAAAATGAGTTTATTTCAAAAAATGATGATTATTTAATGATTCGAGTTACACAGTTCCAAGTAAATAATCTGAAATCACATGACCTCACTTGTACCATGCAATCATTTAAAGGGCATATTAACTTAATTTTTCACAAGATAAATTACCAGAAACATTTAATGGCCACAGATTCAATTCGCAGATTATTCAATAAAATTGAACAACATTCATATTGCTGGTCTATTTGTGGGGGGCAAAGCTACGTCACAAAACATTCTATGTTGCTAATACGCACCACTGTACCATGTATTTCTATGGGCTTTTTGCGAGCTGCTGTGGAACGCTAGTCAAAGAGCCGGTGAAAACAGCTGAAGTAATCATGATCAAACTAATTTATTCATGTTAAACACGTAGAGGTAATCTTCTTACACTGTTTATGGAAGTCTCAACAACTATCCCAAAGTACAGCTCCCTGACAATTTCTCAGCCTTTTTTTTCCCCACCATGATGGTTACCAGACAGAGAAAATTCTTGAATGTTTGCCCCAGAGAATTGAGAATATTGAAAGAACATTGTAAACTGCCTCAATCGCGAAATTTGTGAGTTGAGAAAAAAAGGAATAAATTGAAGCAGAGGATATGTCAATACAGTGAAAGATAATATGGATGAGAACATTGAATTTTTAATACTGCTACTTACTGCAGCATGTTGACAAATATGTTGATTATGGTTTGTCACAAACTAAAAACGATGTTCTTGAAGCTCATATGCAAATATTTGTTTGATGCAAATCTCTAAATGTGCATGTGCAGCAAATGTTTTGGTACGTACTGACATTCACCGAACATACATACGAGACATTTTCATTTCTCTGATATGTGCGCTTCAAAAACGTGTATCATAAATCATAATCCAATATAGTTCTCAAAATGCCACATAAAACAACAATTTTAGCATGTTTTTGTCAGGAGTCACACAATTTTTCCCAATACACACTTAATTTTTAAATCGCTAAAATGCTTAGCAACCATACATTAGGATTTATTGTCAAACCTTAAAAAGATTTGATCAAACAAGGATTCACAAGTTATTCATTTTACATTTAATTTGAAATAAGTCAATGCCTGAAAGGATGGAAAATATATAGAGCTGTCAAGAACAAAGTAAAGAACATAATTAATGGATATGTCATTTTATATGATGTAGTGGTAGTCACCAATATGTTTTTACTGTTTATCGCCGAGCAGCTGGTATTAACAAAATTGGATAATCCAAAAATACATTTGCATGTAAGAAAGCAATCAATATGTGTAGATACAGCCACCTGTAGAGGGCAGTCAACAGATTTTTTTGAGAGTGCTGAAAATTACGAAGTTAAAATTTCATAGAACATTTATTATTCCATAGTCTTTTGGCAGTTGAGAAATCAACAGGGGGCAAAGCAAACAAACAAAACCAGTGTTATTGGTCAGACTGGATGCCAGAGTGACCTTTGGCAAGCACAGAGTGGGTCAATTTTGCAGTTAAACTATTAGTTAAGCTAAGTCTACTTCGTTTTTTCTTTTTCTTTCTTTTCTTCTTCAGCTTTTTTGGCTACAGCCTTCTCTTTGGCCTGGAATAAAAAACAAATTTTTAGTGACTGTGTGCATTATGCGAGTCAAAGTATGTTGGAGAAATGGTAAGACTAACATAGACCCGTGCAGTCAGCCATTTTGAATGGAATTGCAAACTGACATGCATCAAAACCATCATGTGATATGTTCATACAGGTATGCCAGAGAAAATGTCAATGAAATTTTCATATGTTGGTGTTTGATGGCCACGCGTCGGTCACAAGAAAATAGAACAAACAAATAATTAACTTGCACATGTCTAAGATGTTTTTTTACAAACTTTCTTGCCCAAATTTTTCTGCATTTTTTTTTTATATTCTTCAATATTTTTGGAAATGAACCCTAATTTGGAGACAACAGTCAAAATTTGAGTCAGTTTTCATTTTTTACTCAAAATGAACCCTAATTTTGGAGACAACAGTCAAAATTTGAGTCAGTTTTCATTTTTTACTCAAAATGAACCCTAATTTTGGAAACAGTCAAAATTTGAGTCAGTTTTCATTTTTTACTCAAAATGAACCCTAATTTTGGAGACAACAGTCAAAATTTGAGTCAGTTTTCATTTTTTACTCAAAATGAACCCTAATTTTGGAGAAACAGTCAAAATTTGAGTCAGTTTTCATTTTTTACTCAAAATGAACCCTAATTTTGGAGACAACAGTCAAAATTTGAGTCAGTTTTCATTTTTTACTCAAAACATTTGACTATTTTTGTCCCAATCTTCTGAAGGAAAGTGCAGACTATAAACGGGACTATTTTGTGAATTTTTGATGAAAAGAAGGAACTGATGGTGAACAAGTTTAAGGACACAGGTAAATGTTTTTTGGACTAAAATGGCCACCAGTCAGATTAAGGTCAACGGAACAAAAAAACTAAATCAATGTACATAAATAACAGCTGATGTTCAAAACCATCATCAACTAATGATAACGCACTGAACTGCATCCATTGAAGGACATGTATGTTATATTTGACAGTACAGTATATTAGACATAATGTGTCATTTTATTGATATTAATATTAGTAATCTCACCTTTTCAACTAATTCTACGAGTTTCCCTTCTCGTGCCAGCACCTGAATGATCTCCATGATTAACGGCAGATAGTTGTGTTTACGTCGTATATTTTCAATCTTAAACCAAACAAATTCATTAAATGAATATCTCGTACAAATTTTAAGTTTTCTGGTTGCTATACCGAGTCGGGTGGGGGTGATGGGTGGTGTTTTATAACTAGTCACTCATGAGACTGTTGCTTTAGTTTTTTCACAAATTGAATATACATAAATGGTAACATGGATACTACAGCACAGAATCAACTGAAGCTGATATGGTGAAATATCTGCCTAAAACGGTATATTACTGCTAAATGAATCAACATTGATGTTTGTTACTGTAGTGTAAAAGCCCATGTTCATAACTAAACCAACCATATTCTGCTCAAAATCAGACTGACGCAAAGTAAAATGGATTCTCATTTATAAGCCCCCTCTCCTAAAATAACATGCTTTTAAAGAAGAGGTTGGAACAGAAAATAGAGGGATGTTTCAAGCACACACAAATGTGACAACTTTGAAATTATTCATATTTTTACCAAATTACCTATCATATTACCACTATAGTGATGTAAAACAGAAATTTAATAGTGTATTTTGCACGCACAAACAGTATAATACTATTTATTTTTAATGGTAAAGGTATTTGAGAAATGCAGAATTCATGAAAATGCAAACTTTACAAAATAATGCCTGCTTTTTTGATTATCTCAATTTTGATAACAAAACAAATTATGCCACCAGAAAAACAATCACAAATTTGACTCTTACCTTGTATTTCCGAAACTTTTGCTCTTCATCGCTTATTAGCAGATTAAGCCGACTTATTTCGGATTTAATATCACTTTCACTTTGACATGACGCATCATCAGTTTCCATGACTTCACCCTAACATTTTAACAACAAATTTCCCAACAATTTTATATTTATTGTACATCCTATAAACCTTT